TGGCATGAGGAAGGGAGCAGATGGGCTCAAACACTCAGAGGGGGAAGGGGGCACCCAGCTAGGCTCTGGGCCGTGTCGGCTGATGGACCAGGATGGGCATTGTGCCCCAGACCGCTAGAGAGAGCTGTCGGCTCTTGTAAAATCATTAGAACAGGGCGCCATACCTAAGTGGAACCAAACGTTGCGAGTTCTTCACCCTTATCGTTCAAAGGGGATTTATCACATTTTTCAAAAGTTAAGACTTATTGTTGAAACCAGAGTCGTAAGGTATGAACATAAATGAGGCAGATGATTTATTAACAATAAACCCGCTTTATTAGATGACTTTGCTGTACAGAATTCTTCTTTGAGAAAAAAACATGTCGGAAGAGGTAAAGGATATGGGACAGGATCACAGACACAAGCATCGGAGGGAGGGAGGGAGAGGAGGAGAGAGAGGGGAGGGTTTCCTTCCTCGAAGTAGGTGGTACTGAGTTGGTGGAGGAAAAAGGGGGATCAAGGCTCTTGCAAGACGGCTGCCCCTCTTCTACCTGGAAGCGGGTGGGGAGGGGAGAGCGAGGGGGGAATCCTCTTTGGCCTGAGAAAGAAGAGGGCAAAAAGCCCCCCCAACTGTCTAGTCTAAGGGTTCTCCCAAACCTCCAGCACCCCACAGAATGTCATTTTCCGGAGGGAGGGGGGCAGAAGACGGGGCCCTGCTTTTCCTCTTTCGGGGTTGCTGGAAATTGCCGCCAAGATGGGGATGAGAAGATCAGACCCCCTCAAGAGTGCAAATGGGGATGGAGACACACACCCCCGAAGGCCCTTTGGGGGCGGCTGCAGAGGTGCTGCCTGTGGCAGCCTTTCTGACCCATAAGCACTGGAGGGAGAGTCGGCTCCATTTTTCCAGGGGGGTGCGAGTGGAAGTGGGGAAGAAGGTCCAGCAGAGAAGAGGCCGGTGGGGGTGTGTTTGTGTGTTTGTGTGAAGATGCCTCAATGGGGGCCGTGGGGTGGGGAGGTCCTGCACCTGAAGGACTAGTCTTTTGCTCTTTCTCACCTTCTGCCCCACAACTGGGATAAGGATTCCCTCCTGGGCCTCTTTATGTGGGGCCCAGAGGTGGCAGGGCAGGGAGATCTGCCCCCCTATGTGGGAGCACCCCTTCTGCCCTGTTGTGGGGTATCTCTTGGGGTTTCATTCCCTCGAAAGGCAGGCTCTGCTCCCGGGAGGGAAAGAAGGAGACCCTCAAATGGCTCCTTTTCTTCTCCTGAGGGGCTCCCCATAGTGGAGAATCTCCCAGTGGCTTTTGCCTCTCCTGAGGGAAAATCTTCCTTTTTCTCTGAGCTCTGCTGTGAGGCTTGGCAAGTGGAGCCGAGGGTGGTGGTGGCAGGGACTGCCCTTCTCCTCTGTCTTCCTCTCATCCCTCAATGTGGGTCTCTTTCAGGGTTTCACTCCCTGCAGTGGATGTACAGCTGTGAGCTGAGGGCGGACGGTAGCAAAAGAGGGCACATGCAGTATGGCTACGACGGGAGGGACTACATCGCCCTCGACAAGGAGACCCTCACCTGGACGGCGGCCGTTCCCAAGGCCCAGATCACCAAACACAAGTGGGAGAAGGAACTGGCCATTGCCCAGAGACAAAAGGAGTACCTGGAGGAGATTTGCATCGAGTGGCTGCAGAAATACCTGGCGTACGGGAAGGAGAGGCTGCTGAGGAGAGGTGAGGGATGGAATGGAGGAACAAGGAGGTCTCCTTCTGGGGAACCGGGGCCATCTTCTCTGCCTCCCCGTTGTAACGACCCAGGTCCACCTAGAGGATACCTAGTCGACGGACAGAGAGTAACTAGGAGTTTACACACCCTTGAGGTGCTGAGAGAGTCCTGGGGTCTCAGCAAGGCATGCGTTAAACACCCTCTTACAAGTCTGCCCTAGTAAGAACACTACTGTACCTTAGGATATTTCAGGTA